CAGCCTCCTCCCAGTGCTGCCTCCATAGACGTCTCCCGTGCAGGACAGGAATGTTCACTGGCAGTCCCAGTGGCAGCTGGCTGGGCGGTGTGATGGGAACTGACAGGCTGGGGATGGTGTGGGAGTCCACTTGAAGGGTTCAGTGGAGACCCCGCTCCAGGGGCAGTTTTAGGCATGACAGTGACTTTTGGTGAGGTCTTCAGCAGCAGCAGGCTGGATTGGAGGCAGGCTGTGTTTCCTTGGTGGGCTGGGAGGACAAAAGGGAGATGTGGCTTTGCAGGGAGTCACAGCCCTGGCTCCCAGCCCCTGGGCCACCCCATATCCCAGCCCTGCAGTGAGGCTGAGTCCTATCCTCTGATCTAGCAGAGCCGCCCGAGTCACGCTGGTGTGCTGGCAGGCTCATTACAGCAGGTCTGCTTTTAATTAAGCGGGTTTGTACCGCTTTGTACAGCTGAAGCCCTCAGGAGTTCGTGTACGGAGCCTTCACCCCTGTGGCCGGGCTCCTGATGCTTCCTCCCGCGTGGTGGGCAGCCGGCAAAAGGAGCTGGGGCCACGGGCTTTGGGAGCGCGTTCCGGGGCCGTGTCCCACCCATGCAGGACACCGGCTGTGTCCGCAGGGAGACAGGGCACGGTGCAGGCTGTGCCATGCCCTGCCGCAGGTGTTTGCTCTCCTCGGGCCTCAAGGCGAAACCCGTGGCTCTTATCGCACCAGGCAGATAAGAGTTAATGCCCCAGCAGTTGTGCTGAGCTAGCTTTTATTGGCAATAAACCCTGGCTGGAAAAAGCTTCCTAATCGTTACAGATTGCAGGTAGCCCTACCTCCACGGATGTCCTTCAGCACCTCTGCGCTGCCCTGCCCTGCTTGCTGTCCACGCATTGGCAAACACCTCAGGGGCAGCCCCCCTCCAGCCCTGCACCCCTCCGGTGCTTCACAGCCCCTGTGCCACCCTCGCTGTGGCGCTGGCACGAAAGCCGTGTTCAACCCTGTTCCCAGTGCTAACCACTGGCGCCGGCGCAGGGCTGAGCCACTGCTGCACACAAGAGCAGCGGACCACAGCCTGCGTCAGTCAGATCACTGTCCTCTGGACACTCGCAAGTCACAGTTACTAACTGGAGCTGGTACCCCTGGGGCACGGCTGCGCCTGGGGCACAGCTCTGCAGGAGCAGGGGACATTGGAAATCTCTCCTCCTGCAGAAGCTAGGAAAGGAAGAAGTTTGTCCCAGCTGAGCCCGGAAAGCTGTCCCCAGCGTCAGCTGATGGGATGGCCGCGAATGTTTAATGAAAGGGAGTGGAGTCATTTGTCTGGGCTGACCCCCCTCCCCCCCCATAGGAAGTCGGTGTTCCACAAAACAAACCGGCCTTTTGTTTGACTTCTTTCAAGCAAAACACATGTCACCCCTGTAAATCACAGGTCCCCTTCCCTGCCCTGGGGGGTAGCAGCAGAGCAAAGGCGGGCGCTGGCCTCAGGGCGTTGGTGCAAGCCTGAGACACGGGGTGCCTGGGTCAGGGCGAGATCTGGCCCCATCGTGGGGCAAGGAGCCTTGGGGTTGACGCATGCCGGTTCCCGCAGCAGACCGCTCCCCCCAACCTGCCCGCACACCCGCGGCATGCAGCCCCCGGGGAGGTGTGCACTGCTGGTCCTGGGGGGTTCTGGCACCCGCAGGGGCCCTGCCTCGCTGCCCCCAGATCCCAGCCCGGCTGCCGGGCTGTCCCTCACCATCCCCACGCTCCCCGCAGGCCGGATGCCTGGATCCCAGCCCGAGGTCGGCGGGCGGCCGCGGGCCCGTGGCACGAGCCAGGCCGGTGGTTTGGGACAGCCGGCCGGGGGGCCGTGCCGCCGGGTCTGGGCCGGGGCGTGCGGGCGGCGTGCGGCGGCGGGCTGCCGGCGTTCGGCCTCGCCGCCTGCCAGCGGGGGCCGGGGCAGGCTCGTGTGCCGGCGGCAGCGCGCTCCCCTCCCTCCCTGCTGCCTCCTTCCCTCCCTCCCGCGCTCCCCGCGCCGCCTGGCAGCCCGCCACCGCGCCGGGGGTTCGCTCCTTTCTCACGACCTCTCAGGTTCCTGAGCTCATCTGGGAGCTATTCATTTCCTGCCAGAAAACAGCCTTGCCTGCTAAAAAAACCACCTTGGCCGCAGAGCGGCCCAGGGCTTGGTACGAGGACTCTCCCGGCTTAAATCATAAAGCTCCGGCTGTCTGGCTGGAATCAAAGGCAGGGCGGGTGTGGGGAGGCGCGGGGGCCTGTGCCATATGGTAGCACTTAAGAGCCAAGGAGGAAGCGAGGAGGGGTTTTTGCACCGCTCCCGAGGAGTGTGGGAAAAGTTAATTGTCTTTAATGACAGGTTTCCCGGGACGGCAGCAGCGGCCGATGGCAGGAGCTGCAGGGATGCGAAGCGCAGCCGAGGGTGTCACCCCCGCGGTGGGTGGGGAGCATGGCAGGGTGCTGGGGAAGGCAGGCAAAGCCTCCTGCCGCTGGACCCCCGTGCAGGTGTGCTGCAGGCAGGGATGGAGCGCTGCTCCCTCCTGCTCGGCGCTCTCCGGGCCGCAAATGCATGCACCTAACTGTGGCAAGAGGGATAGCAGCCCTGGCTGCAGCCCTCCTCCGGGTAATGTCTCTTCTGAGGGGCAGGGCTCACCACGGTGTCCAGGGAAGCCAACAGGAGCTGCATCCCGTCCAGCAGCACTGAGCTCACTCCCTTTTCCTACCTGTCTTGCACAACCCTGCACAGGTGTCACGGCCAAATGAGAGGCGCCATCCAGCAGCTCAGCCTTGTCCCTTCCGTGTCCCTCCCCACCCCTCCCTTACCCTTGCCTGCTCATCCCACGGCACCAGTCTGAAGGCACTTGCTGCACCTGAAGGGCAACTCCTGCACATCATGGTCCACAGACCACAGCCTGCATTTGTCATCCCAATTTGTCACGGGCTCAGTGAATTGACATCAAGAGCATGGCTCCTGGGAATTGCTCTGATCCCTTCAAAGCTCACAAACTCAAGCAGATCTCTCATGTCAACAGGTTGTGGGATACTGTAAACACAGAAAGCTTTAGAGAAAAGCGGTCCAAGCATGGTATGTCTCCTTTATACTAGGCTATTTAAACTGCATTAGCAAATATGTTCATCTTGTCTTTCCCTCCCGGATCTGCTTCTCCCTTAGCCCACAGCAAAGCATTTTTATGTTTTCTTCTCTCTAATGCACTTTCCAAACCAACTGCTTCAGCAGAAAAGGAAAACTGCTACACTGCAACAGCCTCAGCTCTTACAGGTGATGTGTTACTTGTCTGCATTAGCTCCACACAGGCCACGAAACAGCAGGAGCTGGTCTGATGCGATTCCCAGACAGGTCCTTGTGCACACTCCTCTGAACGCAACTTGGGCTCAGTCCTGCCCTCAGTATCTCCAGCACAGAAAGGTGACGCTATGGCTGGTGGAAGGGAAAGCAGGCTCAGCCTGTGTGGCCACACACACGCCTAGGGACAGCAAAGCAAATATTCCCAAGCCTGGCACACAGAACCTGGCTGCAAGATGCCACCATGAGGGTGGCAATGAGGCAGGTCAGCAGGGTGTTCGGAGAGAGAGGGGAAGCTCTTCTACATCACCTGTGGAGATCAGCCCCTGCAGACCCTTTTTAAAAGGGAGCTCCAAGCTCACTCAGTGCACCCCTCATAAAGATATCCACCACAACTTTCCCCTACAAATCCACACCAAGAAATATTTTTCAGAGCAGGAGGATGTCTGTATACAGGGAGAACGGGAGGGATTCATACCCCAGCAGGTTTAATCTGTCCGGTCTCGCACTCTCCCCAGCTTTCATTTCCCAGCACCTGGATACAGTCAAGCACCTGGCTGATCCAGACAAAAATCCAAGAGGCTTTTGCAACAGGATTTGGAAGGAATCCCCAGTGTATCCTAGCACATTTTAAAGCTGTCCGCTCTGAGTTAGGACTTGTTAAGAAGGGCAACGCAAGCTGTAACCTGAGACTGCTGCTCGCTCTATCTAGGGCTTGCATCTTGCCTGGAAATGGGGCATCCCCAAGTCAAAGGGGTCAGTTGCCACTCAGAGTTCTATAGTCCACACAGCCCCGCATCACTCCCCCCAAACACGTGGTTTCCATATAACAGCAGAGGAAATGCCCAACTCTATCAGAAACATATGCAGAGCATTAATCACCACGTAGAGCCTCGCTGGTGCTCAGGGCCGGGAACAGCTCTGTGCTTTTAAGTCCAGGTGGAGGTGGTGCCCAGCGCCTGCTGCAGCCTGTCAGCCCGGAGACAGAAGCGCTGGTGTCAGGTCCTGCGGAGAGCCGCTGGGTTTGTAACTCGAGAAGCTGGCAGGAGCTGCTCTCCACATCAACTGACCGCAGTCATTCGCAACTTACACCACGGCCCGGGAGCGGGCCCCTCCAGGTCCGGGGCAGGAGGAGGCTCACCAGGGCAGCTTGGGCTGGGAGCCAGAATCTGCCTGGGCTACTCCACTCCGTCAGCCCAAGTAGCCAAGAACAGAGCAGAGCAGCCTCCCTCAGCGCGTTCACCACCTCTGCAAACATAAGCTCTTTTTAACAAGTCTGATGAGCTGTGCTGCTCCCAAGGAAGCAGTAATTACATCTGCCCCGGGGTAGGGAGAGGGGCCAGGTAATTTCACAAGAACATAGAGGGGACAGAGGGTCTGACTGACAGCTCCAGCCTGGAGAGCAGGACAAGGCAGACCTGGAACAGCATGATCCACAGCCAGCCAGGAGCAGGGCTCCCTCCAATGCACACATGCCAGCACTCTAATTTATCTCCAAAGGCCTTCCGAAATGGAAGAGACACTTTTTATTTTAAGAGCATTCAAAAAAAAACAAAACAAAAAAAAAAAAAACCCCACCCACCAAAAAACAAAACGAAAACCAACCAAACAAAAAACCCAACAAAAAACAAACCCCCGATCTTTGGTGTCACAGGAAGAAGGGGAGGGAAGGGAGAAAAAAGATCTCGTGTAAAACACGAAACACTGTCAAAGGAGTGCTATGGTACAAAGGCACAATCCAATATGAACATATAACCTATGTACAGCCGTGCCAGCAGCACAGGGTGCAGTGCTCAGTCCAGTCCAGTGCCCACCACCCTCACCAGGGTCTCCAGACAGAGTCGGCTGTGCCGGGTGGCGGGCCAGGCGGCGAGGCAGCGGTGGCAGCCGAGGGTGGACCACCATACAGGGGCAGCACAGCTCCACCGGGAGCAAAGGCAGCGCTGGGGATGATGAAGGCGAATTGCCCATCCGAGGCTGGCAGCATCTGGAAGCCGCTGTACACCTTGGCTGCATCAGCACCTGCCTTGCAAGGGATGCCCGGGAGCGGCCCTGCAGCACTGCCCGGTGGCACCAGGGGTGGCCCAAAGGCTGCGGCTGGTGGCAGCGGTGGCGGTGGTGGGGGTGCAGGGTAGTTCATGGCGTTGATCTGGGTCATGCAGCTGGCCAGGTGGCCCAGGAGCCGGGTGCGCACCTCCGTGTTGACACCCTCACAGGTGGAGAGGAACCGTGTCACCTCGTTCATGCACTCGCTGAAGCCAGCACGGTACTTGCCCAGCACTGTTGGGTCTGTGCTCAGAGCAGCTGCAGAGGGAAGAGAGGAGCTGTCAGCAGGGTCCTCAGGGAACGGGGGTACGCACCCCACCGGTGTTACATCCTGGAGCCCCTCTGAGCCAGGAATCCAAGAAGGGAGTCCAGCCCTTCTGGTAGGGTGTCTTGTCTTCCTGGGTGCCAGGGATCCAGATGGAGTGCATGGACCCTCTGCTACCACGTCCACCAGCATCAGGATCCCACGTGGGGTACATACTATCCCAAAAAGTCCCTTATGTCCCTAAGCGCTAGGAATCCAGGTTGGGTGCACAGCTCCCCTGTGGGTCTTATGCCTCCCACCCCACCAAAACAGACCCAGGTGGGGGAACACAGCTCTGTTGGTAGAGAGGACCCAAGCAAGGACTGCAGCCTCTTTCAGTGTCCCCCAGTACACGTGCAGATACAGAGCACAATGCCCCCTCCCCCCTCAACCCCCTTGTACTGGGGATACAAGGTACACAGCAGAGTGCCCCTCACCACCTCCCAGTACTGGGGATGCAGGAGGGGGCTCCCTCTGTACCAGAGACACAGGCACAGCACAGTACCCTCATCACCAGGGATGCAGGTGTGGAGCCACATACCCTCCGTACTGAGGATGCGGTAGGCAGGAAGCACGATGCCCCAGCCCCCAGGATGCAGGCAGGAACCCCCAGCCCTCTTCCCTACGGTCATCTAGGACTCACCGGTCATCTGGGCTCGCTGGAGGCTCCGCAGGTGCTTGACAGTCATCTCCAGAATGTCGGCCTTCTCCAGCTTGGAGTGCCGCGAGCTCTGCGGGGACAGGCAGGGCTCAGACCGGTCCGGCGGCACCGGCCCTCCCCACGGCCCCCTTCCCGGTCCCCCCCACCCCCGCTTACATCCTTCTTCAGCGCATCCAGGATGAGCGTCTTCAGCTGTCCCAGGCTCTCATTGATGCGCGCCCGCCGCCGCTTCTCCATGATGGGCTTAGAGGACTGTAAGAGAGGCACCGGTCAGCGCCCGGAGCTGCTCCGTGCGGCGCTGCCCTGCCCGGCGCACCCCGGTCCCGCCGTCCTTACCTTCCTGTGCTCTGCCGCCGTCTTCGGCTTATCGGGCGTCGCGTTGACGCTGGCGGGGGTGGCGGCCACCGGCGAGGCGCTGCTCTTCTCCATCAGGTCGGCCGGCATCCTGCGCGCCCGCCGCCGCGGGAGAGGCGCCGCGGCCGCAGCGGGGGGGGGGGGGAGGCAGCGAGGGGCAGCGTGCGTGTGACCGGACAGACCCGGGAGCGGCGGGCGGCTGTGCGCGCGCTGCCTGGGGGCGGCGGGGCTGGCAGGGCGCGGGTGCCGCGCGCCCTTGGCCGCCCCTACTTATAGCGCGCGCCGCACGCGCGCGGCTCGTGTGAAACGTCCCCCGCCGCCGTTCCCACACTCGCGCCCAGCCAATGGGCGCCGCCCGCACGCGGCCCCGCTCGTGGACGGCGCCCGCCCATTGGCTGGGAGCCGCACGGCGGCCGCCGGCCAATGGCGCGGGGCGGGCGGGCGGGCGGCCGCGGTTAACCCCTTGGGCGCCGCCCGCGGGAAGGGCGGGGGCAGGGGGGCTGGCCCTCGGGGAGCGGCGCGCTAATTACCAGGTTAATTGGCGCCCGTGGCGGGTACCGCCCCGCCCGCTCCCCTCGGGGGGCGCCGGCCACAGGCCCCGCGCTGGCTGCGCTGTGGGGGGCCGCGGCCCTCCGGGGTGTCGGCCGGGACCGGCCCGGCTGTAGTGGCCAGAGCCCAGCTACCGTGTGCGGGGCTTGCCGCGGCCCCCGCCTGCCCCTGCCCGCATGCAGGTGCCACTCAGGCCGAGCACGGTCTGCGGGGCGGGCGGGGCTGCCAGAGCCACCGCTGTGGGCGACGCGTCCCGGCGCTCGCACGCGTTGTGGCGCGGGCTGCGTTCACGGCAGCGAGCAGAGGCGAAACCGCGGGTCCGTGGCGGGCGGGCGGCCGCGCTGGGGCTGCCTGGGCCGGCTCGGACAGCTCGTGGTGACCTGGGAACAGAGAACGGGAAAAACAAAAGAAAGAAAAAGTGTTTTGCCTGGGGACGCGAATCTTTTTTTTTCCCCTCCGCTTGACTGACTTTCTCACACTGCTGTTCCCAGAGGCTGCCAGCTAAGCCTGAGTCATCCTGCCAAGAACTAGACCTGGCCTATTCAGAAATGTGCTCCCTCGCTCTTTCTCTCCGTCTTTCTTTTTTTTTCCTCTTTGAGTACACACAGCGATGGTTTTCCACCTCCTCCAGTCCCGTACCTGATCTGCACCTGTACGGAGCCAATCCCACACGTATCACCCGATCTCGCCTTTTCAGAGACCGTGAGAAAAGCAAAGTTCAAGAAAGGAGAGACATGTTTGCAGATCTCACCGGCGCAAAGCCCCCATCCCCGCGGAGCCTTGCCTGCGGAGTCTGAGAAAGGAAAATAAATAACAGGGAGAGTGTCGTGTTTAAAACGGCAGAAGAGTACAAACCCAGGCTTTCTTTCTGCTCCCTGATGGAGGCACAACCCCTTTGATTTAAAAACAAAGAGCAGCCTTCAGCGTGTGAGATTTAACTTCAGATGAGCAATATTTGACGTAAGCTTCTATTAGCTAGGCAGCCGGACAAATTCGAGTGAGGAAAAGATCAAGCCTGCGCTGGAAAGGCACTACCAAAATGCCTTTTTGCAGCCACCTTTATCAGAGACAACCTATTAGCATGAAAACTGCAAAACATTTCTGGAGACCCTAAGAAGCTCTCCAGAGCTTCTGATTTTTTTTTCTACTCCTGCTATTTATGTATTTTGGGGTAAAAAGAAAAAATAAAAAAGAAGAATGTAATCTCTATTACTGAATTGGTGTTCTCTCTCCTGTGGGGATTTGCAAAGGGCTCAGGAAGTGTGGAGCTCTGCAGCCCAGCCCTCCCGGCCGGGAGGGAGAGCAGGCTGCAGTTTATGGTCACCGGGGAGCTGCTAACTAATTGCTGGCAACAAGTCAGTGCCTCTGGGGGGTGAGATCAGGGCAGGCAGCGAGACCAGGCTGGAATCTGGGGTTTGCCAGCACTAGCAATATCCGGGACCTGGGCAGTGTCAGGCAGCAGCTGCCCTTGCCTGCTCTCCCACCCTGCCGCAGCCCCGGCCCTTCCTGCTGCAGAGCCCCTGGGGAGGGTTTCACTTTTGGGGTGTGTGAGGAGCCCAGCTGTGGGGCACTGGGCCTCCAAAAGCACCCGCTTCTGTGGAGGCTTCTTGGATCCACAGGCTGAGTGCTGCCTGGGGCGTCAGGGAGGCAGTGATACTTGTGTCCCTGCTCCACATCTTCTTCTTACGCAGGTGAAGGTTGTGGTCCTCAAGAGGAAGCATGCATATGTGCAGATTCCCTGGGGATCATGAGAGGAAGCAGAGGATTTGCATGGGAGGATGTCTCTGGAAATAAAGTGGCTGAGGAGAAGCTTAGGCTGGAAGGAGGTGCTGAAGAGGGTTGTAACCTGGAACAGATCCTCTGGGCTTCTCCAGCCCTACCTTTTCTTGTGGAAGAGGTGTCAGGGTTTCAGAGGGTTCAATCAAGGGATTGAAGCCCCAGATTAAGGGGCTGCCCTACGGAGTGGCATGTCACTTAATCCACAGTCCTCTGGCAGTGGTTTCATCTTTGCTCAGGCTGTCATCTTGGCTTACAGATTGGGAATTGGCCAAAACAGATTTGGGAAGAACCTTTGGACGGCGCATTAGGACATTACTGACTGGCAGAACATCTTGGAGGAAAAATATGTTGGCGAGAAAATTTAGACTAGTTCTGGGCACAGGCCCAGGGGTGGGAAGGTGGAATAAAATAGGATGCTGCCTCTGGTGCGGCATGCGGGAGGCAAGGAGGTGGCAGGGCTGGCTGTGCTTGCTCTTGGGTCCTTTAGGAAGCTGCCAAGGGGAGAAAAATGTTCTTCCAGAGATCCAAAATCACTTATTTCCAAAGCCTGCAGGATCCTGAATACAGAAAATATAAACCAAGTTGCTTGTAAGAGCTGGAGTACAGGTAGAGCCCAGGAATGGCACACCAAGCTTTTCCTCTCTGGGTCATGGACTGAAAACCTATCCTGGCTGCAGCTCAAAGCCGTCACCACCCTGAAGGCTGGAAAACAAGTGCTGCATCTCAGGGACATGTCCCTGGCACAGATGTCTCCTCTGGGCAGCCCTGCACACATGCCTCCACTCGTGATTCCCATCCCAGAAGCTGTTGTGCAATCCGTACCCAACCGGCTCCCCTGGGAGCTGTGATCTCAGAAACTTTGGGCGCAGGTTTCAGGGCTTATTTCCTCTCCATACCCATTTGGCAGATCTTTGGGACAAGGTCACTTTCAAAATGACTTCCTGACAAAGCTCCCTAGATGAAGGAAAGCTTTCACGGACCTTGCTTCCCTACACACACGGTCCTCGTGGTAAAAAGGGCAGCTTTCGTGCAGCAGTGTCACTGCCCAGCCCTCCTGATGGCAGGAGCAGCTTGCTGTGTAGGATGGCAACCCTGTTCTATGGAAGATCCTGTGCTCTCCTTTCCACTGGGGACCCATTTCCCAAGGGCCTGCTGGGACCCAGGATGCCAGCACTGGCAGATGAGCCTCAGGGGGCTTGCATGGTAGCTGCTCCCCTGGCAAGGACATGCTGTGCCGGAGCTGGGCTCTTTGAGCTGCTGCTGCAGAGGAGAGGCTGAAGTGTTTGTTCATTTTCAGTCCCTTCTGTGTGAGTCAGGCTGGGTGTGGGAGAGCTCTGGCCGTTCTGTGATGACAATCCCTGCTTTGGAAGGGCATCTGTGGGCTCCAGGAACTGGTAACCTTCCTTCTGTTGCCCGCACTACCAGGCAGCCATCCCAGGAATGGCGTGGGAAGCTGTGGGATGAAGCGGCCAAATCTTTGCTGTAGTAGAAAACCACCACACTGAGAAACTCCGGCGTCACTAAAGACAGGCATTGAAAAACCATTTTCATCTCCCTATAGCAGCACCGGCTGTAGCACAGCTCTGCACTGAGGAGGGCTCTGGGACAAGAGCCAGGATACCTGGATCTCTTGCTAAGCTGATTCCTTTTGGCAGGCTTCTATCCTGCTGAACCAAGGAAATGCTGCTGGGTTGCTGGCGGGGAGGGCATTTTGGCAGCTGTGAAATGCCACCCATGTGGATGGGAATTCCCTTCCTGCCCTGATACCCATGGCGTTACTTCAGAGATTGCTGGTTGGGCTGGAGCAGACCCATGTGCCAATGGGCATGAGATGGTGCAGACCCCGGTTTCCTCCTTGTGCCCTTGCAGAGCCCCAGCTCCAGCCTGGTCCTCCCCTGGCAGCGAGGGCATGGTGCTGGCAGGTGCTGAAGCAGGGAACAGGCAGTGGGAGCATCTCCAAGTTGTTTGCAGGGCTTGGACCTGTATATGCCACTGTAGTCACCAGCCAGAGACTGGGATCTGCCTTATGCCCTTCTCTTAGAGATGCTCTAAGGTTCGCTGGACCACGAATTTGCAGTCTGCTGGCCATGGCACGTCAGTCCCCCTTCAGCACAACAGCCAGTGTCTCTGACATGATATAACAGCTCCAGGCAGAGGGACATACAGCTGAGCCTGCATCCCCCAGAGAACCAGAAATAAATGTGCAGTCACTGCTGCACTCCAGAGAGGAGAAGGAGCGTCTCTCAGCTGTCAGCCTTTCCCTGTGTGGTGGGAGATGTTGGCAGTGAGAGCCGAGTTATTTATTTAATAAGATCCCACTTGTGTTGCTGCCTGAGGCTGCTGTCTCTGTGCTGGAGCCATGGTGCTCGTGTGCTTGCAGAGCATGGGGAGGCCCCTCAAGCTGCAGAGCCTGGGTCCATACATGAAAATACCTTGAGTTTGGCAGTGGTGGGGCTGGAGGAGGTGAATTATACAGAAAATATCCCTGACCCAAACACGGGGTAGAAGGCACCTTCTTGAGAGCCTCCAAGCAAAGGTGGATGTGCATCAGCTCCACATCCACTGAGTCCAGCCCTGAGCCTGCAGCATTTGTGTGCTGAGCCATAAGTGATCCCTGGCATACTGTGGCTATAAGAAGCCCCGCAGCCTTTTCCAGAACATGGCTTTTAAGTCAGATCAGACCAGCAGTGCACTTTGCAGCCCAGCTGTGTACAGCTGGATCGGAGCAGCGGGGAGCCGGGAAGACACAGGCGGGAGCGTGGCATGGTGGGAGCCTCTCCAGCCACTCCCAGTGCAGGGAAACAGCGCCTGGGTGCATCAGATTGCCCTTGAGTCCCAGCACAGAAGCCCTTGTCTGTGCCCCCTCTGCCCTCTTCCCCCTGCCCTGCTGGCACACACAGCTGAGGGCAGGTGGGAGCATGGCATGCAGCTCCCTGGGGACTCAACCTTCACCATCTGCAGGATCATAAATCCCACAGGGCCAGCCCTTGACCGCAGCATCTGTGCTACTCTGCAGAGTGATCAATCACATTTCCCAACATGATTCCCTCTCCCTGGCGTTAATCAGTCGGAGATCTGATCACAGACCCGGAGCTTTCTGTTAAATTCACCAGCTGATCGTCCTCTCTTATTCCTGACAACATGAATTGGCAGTGGGCAGAGCAGTGTGTAAACTGCACATTGTCCTCAAAACCCTGGCAACCATAGCGATGCAGAAAGATAATATTTGGGACCTTTGGGAGGTGCTGCAACAGGCAGCCCTGCCTGGCCCTGAGAAGCTAAGCTGCGGGCAGTGTGGGCAGGCAAGCAGGGCAGCTAGCACAGTGGCTGCATGCCCCACTGAGGGCAAGGAAAGAGGTGTCAGCCCCCCTGGTCTGACCTGGTCCCGGAGCCCTTGGGACACCAGGTATTTCCCCTTGACAGATGAGATCCATCACAGCTTGCCAGCCCTCCCATTTCCATGATTCTGATATCAATGTATTCAAGAAAGCACAGGATACTTCAGGGTGCAGTCTGTTGCTACTGCAGAATAGATCCTTTGCCCAGCCAGCATCTTTCCTGAAGTGGTAAGTAGATGGACTCTGATAAATCCAGGGTATGATGATTCATTTACACTTGGCATCTGATCTCCCCGGTGTCTGATCTCCCCAGCGTCTTCAGTTTTGTTTTAGCTTGGCAAAGTTATGGAGAGAATTAGCCTATCTCAGTAATATTTTAACGTATATGTAATTTGAATGCCGCATTCCTAAAATCGATATTCATTATTCAAGGTGATAGCAGAGCTAAAATTAGTCCTTTAGCTATGTCAAGAATACCAGGATGATCATGTGTTACTAGTATTAGTGACTCCATGAAGACACATGTCTCCATATACGTGGGTTGGGTGCCAGGGTTTGGTGCTAAGCTGGGTGCCAGCACACCCTCAGCATCATCCCTGCCACCTCTCCAGGGAGCCAGATCCTGCCCTGCATCCTGCTTGTGGCAGTCCTGGGGGGCCACCTGAACTACACCAGAGTTAAGCTGCAGTGGCAGGTGAGGAGACCCAGGGCGGTGTGCCAGAGGGACAGGGGCATGTTGGGGTTTTGTTTATTTTCATGCACAGGGTGTTCAGGTCTCATGTGGGAGGTGGTGATTTGAGATCATCAATTAACGCGTTCTAATGGCAGAGCAGGGTGTGTGCTAGGATTGTGTGGTTTTCTCCCTCATTTTCCTTCTTTCTCTTGCTGATTTGCTGCCAAAGCCCTCCGTGAGCCCCTTGGACATGTGTTAACAAGGGGTAGGTAGGATTTTTGGAAACTCCCTGTGAATTCTCTATTTGCTTTGGTTACACATGGCCATACATGTGCTAGTCCAAAGCTGTGTGCTAGTCCAGAGCTGTGTTTGGACCATGCAGAAGAGCTGCATTTCTCATACAAGTTAAAAAGAGAGAAGGGGAGGTGGAGATCTTTTACATGCAAGTCAAGAATTGATGTGTTACTAATTGCTGTAGTAGAAAATATTATCCCTCAGAGGATGTTGTTATTTTATAAACAAGGGAGTAATTTACAGCTCAGTTACTTAAATCATGAGTTAATTGCCAAGCATAATGAATAAATACATTTGCAAGTACAAAAATTAATTTGCACAGATTCTAGTCATCTAGGCATTAAGAGGCAGATCAGTATTTGATAAGCAATCTGGAATGTTGTATGAAATGATGTTTATTTTCACATGTAATCCAAACGACGAAATGTCCTGAAATGAGGTTTCAAGGGCCTTGTCCTTCCTTCCCTGCAATGAAGGGCAGTGTTTTCATTAGCTGCTCCAGAAATGTGTTCAGGCTGCCTGGCAGCAGAGAGGAAGGCAGGAATCCTTCAGGAGTGACACAGAGAGCAGAGTAGCAAGCCTAGGTTCATGCAGGTGTAATTGTTTTAATACTACAAAGTGCAAAGAGAGAGTGTAGAGACAAAAACTGGGGATGCCTGCAATGGGCTTGGAGTTAGTGTTAGCTGACAGCAGCACAGCTGCAGGGCTGGGAGATAAAGGGGAGATGTTAGTGCCACTGCCCTAGCACTGGTGAGGCTTCCACTCTGTGCAAGGATGCAAACAGAATCAGTGGCAAATAAACCCAGCAAAAGGGGGTTTTGCATCCCACTGCTGTCTGTGCTTGCTGCTGCTCACAGCACTGGAGGCTGCAGGACTTAGTACCTATCACAGGCATGTCTCATCTTCTGGGGCATGAAGAGCCCTGCCTGCTGCCTGCACACCACCTGCCCACTGACTGCACACTCCCTGCTCGCTGCCACGCTGGGTGTCAGAGCTGGGGCTGGTTGCTGCTGCCTTGAGTAAGAGGCAAACAGCAGGCACCTGCACTTCAGTTGCTGCCATTGAATAATCTTGGGCTACTGGTGCCTTTTCATAGGATCATATCTTTATTGGAGGCTGTTAAAGCCAAACCTCCCAACAGCAATAACATGACTACAAAGCATTTCTAAGAAACAAGTACGTGGGAATAAGGAAGATACTGAGATCCCAGCCAATTTCAGTACAATACAAGTCTGAAGTATCCTTATAAATTTAACAAGTCAAATTTAAATGTATACAAGGCTCAGGAGCATACAGGAAACAGGATCAGCCAAACCTTCAAAGGCCCATCGTTGTCTTTCAGAAACTCCACTGAAAGGCTCATGCCATAAAAAAAAGTGTATTCACATAGCTGATACAGTGATAAACCCAATGGAGAAATGCCAGCACCCAGAGCGGGCAGGGATGCTCACTTCAGGGATGTCACAGTGAGTAGCCCAGCCTGTTGTTACGGTGCGCTTTGTCCTGCTCTCTCTGCAGTAAAATAGGGCCCTTTTGGTGTAAATCTGGAGAGACTTCAGTAGGTGATTTCCTCCTAGGCAAGCAGCAGCCCTTGCCACTGCCTTTATGATGGGTCAGCCAGCCTGTTCAATCTCGCTGCTGGAGACTGGCAAGGTAATAATGCTCATTCCTTGCCTGGCACCACCTCCATCACACTTCTGAGCAGCACAAGCCACAGCCAGGAATGCAGCACATGGAGGTGACTTCTCTGTCCTCTGTGACATACACTCTGGATACCACGGGCATGAGAGGACAAGGAGAGAGCCAGAAGACACTGCTTGTGCTGCGTGCCCAGAAGTTTATCCCTGTTTTCTCCTCAGAGCATGTCTGCTATAGGCACCTGGAGAAGGATCTTGAGGGGACCTCACCGACTGCTGCAATGTGGAAACTGTGCGAAAAGGTCCTGAGTCTGCCCTGTTTAACTCCCAGATTAATAGCTAAATGCATTCATGAAATGCTAGAGACCCACATCTCATTCAGCCTGCCTGAGTGGTGTCAGCATGGCCAGCTTACCATACCTGATCTTTCCTTCTGTGTGTTATTTGTGGACAGCAGGCTATATTCTGCTTTCACCATGTGCCATTGTGTGTTTGTACATTTTACCCATCTGTTCGAAAGCAAGAAGCAGTGCCATATGACTTAAGCAACCATCCATGTTCTCTAAATAGCAAAGTATCCAAGCAAGCTAGATAGCAAACCATCCGAAGACTGCAGTAGAATGTCAGAAAAGTCTCAGGAAAATGCCCTGCCACAGAGACATGGGAAAAACCAAGGTAATTTCATGGCTTGTTTGTGAGTGGGAAACAAACCCACCCCTCTGAAGAGGCCAGCAGCTCTGGGATGTGTGTTGAAGGACCTGGCATGGAGGAATTTGTGAACCATAAGGTTTTGTCAAAAATAATTATTAAATGAAATGCAGTGTCCTAGCGAAGTTTATGCCTGAGACATAAAACAAAACCAAAGTACAAAATGTGGTTTTTAAAGGCTGGATTCTGTCTCATGTGAATAGAAGCCACATGCATGCATCTCAGATCACATTTTGGCCTGATTTGAAACTGTGCTTGTAGAGGTTGCAGCAAGAGCAGGCAGAGGAAGGCTCCATGTTCTTTTATGATCCTGTAAACCAGACGAGCAGAAAGGCTCTGACACCAGCCCCTGTGTGCATTAGCTCCCTGGCTGCGGGGTGAAGCCCCTGTGTGTATTAGCTCCTGTGGCTGCACCAGGCAGTGAGGCGGCTCAGCTACCCACTCCACATCAGGAGCAGGCAGCAGCGATGCCACTTACCCTGCCTGGAAGCCAGGTCCAGACCTGCAGCTCTGTGCCTGTGCTGCCCCAGGCAGGTTTGGGGCTGGTGAGCTCCCAGTGACACCACCATGCACGAGCATCCTGCAAAAGTGCTGGTACCGAAGCTTAACCTTTATTAATAGGAGAGAGGAAGAAACAATGCTGGCAAAATATTGTCAAATACTTCAAATTAATGATTAATTCTAGATGGAGTGATACTGTTTGATGTGGTCTTTTCTGGTTTAAACAGGAGAAGGGTGATTCACTCTAAAGGAATTTATAAAAACACAAGTATTTGCTCATGGACAATAAATACTGGGGCAGATAAAAAGGGGGATGAAGTGTTCAGCATCGTGATAGTAACTCCGCTAGAGAAAACTTTTGACCTTCTCACATCTTAAATCAATGTGCTCCCCCACCCCGCTCTCCTCCAGGCCCGCCCTTGAGGCTGCGGGGACGGGTAGGAGGGAGTGTGCTGGGCTTGCCTTGAGCTGCATTGCTGTTAGATCTCACTGTCTCCCTCCTGTCCCCACAGCTCGGGTGCTGGCGCCCAGCGAGGGGCATGGGGCAGCACCCGACAGCAGTTTACACAATCTGTGTACACAGCGTAATCTGTCAATTTGCCTGTTGTAAATGTAAAGCGTATAAACGCGGTGCTAAACTGCTGTCGTTTACAGAGCTGCCCCGCCTGGGAAGCTGAGATTTACGCTGCCCGCTGGCGAGCCGGACGCCTGTCCTGTCCCGTCCCATCCCGGCCTGCCCTATCCTGCCCCCTCCAGCGCTGGCCGGAGGGATGCCCAGGAGGGATGGCTGCAGGCAGCAAAGGCCCCATTAATAACCCAGACGGGGCTGCATTAAGAGGCGCTGGCAGCACTACGCGTGCCCTACAGCACCTGACGGCCGTCGGATGTGTACCTGAAGGAGGGAGCTTGCTATCTACCTTTCCCGTGGGAATACGATGCAGCCAGGATAACCCCCAGACCTTGCTGGGGCTTTGCCAGTGCCATTGAAGTGTTGACGGCTGCTGATTACCCTGACACGATGGTGGTTTTATTGAGACAAGATTAGCCACCCGCCGCACTTTGAAGGGAGGCCGGGCACACACCATCACCAGCTGTCCTCTGCCAGGAAGGGCTCCAGAGCCTCTCTTCACACTGGGCTTTTTTTGCTTTACAAAATCTGTTTTTCCCCTAAAGCTAACAGTATTGGGGTGAGCATGGGGAGCGAATGGGGCAGTCCGCGAGCTCGTGTCCAGCCTCGCCGCAGCTGAGCCCCTACCTGCAGCTGTTCCCGCGGCATAGCCTTGCAGGCTGTCAGCGGGCCTTTCATCACAGACCCCACTGACATCATCCTTTCCAAAACACCTTAGCTCCTCGTGGTCCCTGTGCTCGTAACACTTGGAAGTGACAGCGGCTTCTGGTTTCAATTAACCCAGGGGCAGTTTGAGGACTATGTGATTGCACAGGAACAGAGGGGAGAGGAGAAAAGGCTTTTCAGAGCAGCAGCAGCACTGGAGTGTGTGGGTGAGGAGCTCCTGTAAAAAGCAGATGGTTTCTCTTTCCTTCCTCCTTCTTTTGCTCATCTTTCTCTCTCTCCCCCCCCCCCCCCCATTCTGTGGAACTGACAACCCAACAGCACATTTTTCACCTTCAAAGCTTTGCTGAAGGGAATTCTTCACTGCTATTTCATTTCTTCCTGATGTTCACAGATCGTAAAGCAAACGACCTCTGGAGAACAGGGAGAGCAGATCTATCCCGTGGTCACAGCAGAGGACCAGACCAACACCCTTGGGGCGTGACAGCCTTTCCCCAGTGGTTGGCAGCCAGGGGAAGCACACATACATCTGCCTTGGGATGCTGAGTATCAAACATATCACCACAGTCAGATGCTGCCAACACTGGAGTCGGGGACACACAGAAGTTTGCAGAGGTCCATGAATTCCACCTTGGACAGGCACAAGGATAATGACCATGAGCAGAGGCTGCTTGCATCAGGGGAAAGCAGGCACTGAAGTCCCTATGCTGGCCTTGCTGACTAGGTTTGCTGATGCTGTCCCAGAAGGAGACACTTGCAGGTCAGCAAAGGCGAGTCCCATCTGGAGCGTTCCTCCCACTGCCTTCCCATGGTCATGCAGCAGTCAGGGTTCCCAAATCTTGTGTGTTCATGAGGTGTAGGGAGGGAGGAAGCCATAATCCCATGAAAACCCAGCCCACAGTGGGATGGATACTTATATTACTCTCACTCGTGTCAACGTGTTCAATGCCTTTTGGAAGAAAGGTAGTTAAAAGAGGTGTAAATGGAAAATAAGACTGAAGGACAGGCTGGGATAAAGAGTTCCATCATGCTAATGTGAGATCTGCTTTTAAGACACCATTATCAGACCTGGCAGCACTAGGTGATTGCTGCCCCCTGCAATGCATGGCAGTGCTTTTCTTGCCGTGGGAAGATGTTCTATGAAAAGGAGGAGTGAGAATCCAGCCCAGAAGCTGCAGCATGGGGAGGGACAAGAATGAGGAATGGTGGCCAGTTGTTCTTGGAGGGCTGGGGGAGGACACTGCTCTGCTTTCATCAGGGACTTGAACACCGAAAGGGAGCATTTGTTTGCAAGATGTGTTTGCCCAGCCAGGGAAGTGAGATGTGGAGGTTGGTGTGGGGCTGGGAGCCACTGCCTGGTCCCCCAGGGCTGCCTGTGAGGGTGGGCAGCGGGCAATGTGCTTCCTACATGTGCACAGCTGAGTCAGAGGAAGAAAACTGCAGAAGGGAACGACAAAGCTGCCAGGAAGACAAATGGGGCTGAAATGATCACTGGGATTGGGAGGGTCTGGAGCAGCTTCTGGAAGGAGTGGCAGCAACCAGAAAATAACCTCATTGCTCTCTGGCGCCTGAGCCACATGTGAGAGGGACGAGCTGGCATGGGGTGGTGAGGGATGAGTGTCCCCTGTTCTGCATCTCCGTGTCCTAATTCACCACCACTTGCACAGGAGCACAAGCTCGTTCCTCACCGTGAGCCTGCAGAGTTGGTGCTGGAGGCAGAGGCGAGGAGCAGCCAGCCCCGCCGGGTTTGTCACTGGGGATGTGTCACCTCTGATACCAGCTCTATGCCTTGAAGATGTCCCTTGCCTAAGGAAAAGCCACTTAGAGGCTCCGTACCCTGAGGGTGAACACCAGCAACCCTGGATTGGGATGTGGGTTGCACTGAAAGGGTGGTGCACAGCGATGCCACCCCACACTGCGATGCTGCCAGTAGTGCAGAGCCACAGTTCTGAGCTGGGTCCATCCCCATCTCCTGGGGGTCCCGGGAGCTGCTGACCAAAATTTAGCAGGTTTGGGGTGAAAGCTGGTTCTCTTTGAAAGTACTCCAGCCGCACTCCCCATGTGCCATGGGGATGCCCGGAAGGATGAGGGCACCGCTCACCTCCTTCCTACCTGCACCCCCCCCCAGCCAGGACCGAGGGTTGAGGATGGCTGTGGGGCTTGCCGGCAGCCCGAGGCAGCCTCATGGGGCCTGGAGCCAGCCCAGCCAAAGAGTTGATGGTTTTCACACCCTGTCAGCCTGATGAACAGCCCCTCTCCCTTGGTGCTCAGCGCCTGCAAGGGTCAATTACGGCGATTACTTCAAGGAGTCAAACCGGCTGCTGGCAGCACTGGAGAAAATCTTTGTTTCGGGTTTGGCTTTCTCACAGGAAGGAAAGGAATGACTGGGTTTGTAGTGTGGGGGGAAGGAGCCTTTACTGTACATGGGGCAGAAGTCAGGGGTGTCTGGGTGTTTGGGTGGGAGAGGACTACCCGGGTGTTTGGGGCAAGCTGCTCTGTTCTGCTAGTGTGATTCTGAGCAGTAGCTGGGGCTTGTGCAGCCCCCAGCTCACTTGGCCACTCAAGAAGGGCCTAAAAGCAATCCAGCAGTTGTAGGGAGCAGCTAACAAGTGATGGAGACAGCCTTCAAAAGTAGATGTGGTGTGTAATGTGAGAAACGAAAAAGAACAAAACACTGGCAAGTTGAAAGTAAAGTCACAATAGAGGTGATTTAAAAGTT